GCTAAATTGAAATATGCAGTCCAAAATGCTACAATAATAAAGTAGCTTCCTTCCAAAGAGTGGGTATGCAAGTTTTAATTCTGCTCAAAACATATCATAATTAGGTGCATTAAATCACAGCTTCAAAATCATTTTTAATTAACTCTTCTTGAATTATTGGCTAACATGCTTCACATCCCCTTCAAATGGACTGATCATCCGTACTAGTGTTGTAGGTTCATATACAGTTTTAAATTTAAGTACTACATCTTGTAAATAGCACACAAAGAACATCATTCCATTTATATATTCATGAATTTATCCTCTCACAAACTGCAGCAAGTGCTGAAGCTTTGTAGTTAGCAAGCTTTTAAAGTTCATTTATTTGTATGAGTTTACATGTTTTGTTTGCATGTATGTAAGTGCACCCATGCCTGCATTCCCCACAGGGGCCAGAATAGGGTGTCACATCCTCTGAAATTGGGTTATGGATGGCTGTTAGGCACTATGTGGATGCTGGGAACTGAACCTGGGTCCTCTTTAAGAACAGCGAGTGCTCTTAACACTGAGGCACCTCTCCAGTTCCCACCCACCCCATTTTTCATTTATTTTATTTTTATTTTATGTGTATGAGTGTTTCACCTGTTTATATGCAAGTGTACTATGTTCATGCAATGCCCACAGAGGGCACTAGATCTCCTAGAACTAGAGTTAGCAACAATTGTTAGTCACCATGTGGGTGTTGGAACCAAACCAGCATCTTCTGCAGCAGTAGCTAAGGCTCTTAACAGCTGAGCTAGCTCTCCAGCCCCAGCTAGCAAGCTTTTTTAAAAAATGTGACTGCTACTAAATTTTTTGGTAATATGTTTATTTTCTTCATCCCTAAAAGACCTCACTTGTCATTCCAAAAACACATGAACCTGTCTCATTACTTTATAACATTTCAGTTTTCATTTCAGTTTTATTTGATTAAGTACAACACTGCAATAGAACAATCATCTGGGGATCACTTTAGAATCAATGATTTATGAGCTCCTTACTATCTTTTTACAGTTTATGAAATATATTTATCAATCAGTAGATTATGCCAATCACGGTGTCCGTTTTTCAGTTTGTGAAATCTTTTAACTAAAACCATTGGTGGTTAACTGAGATGAATGAATATTGAAATAGATGCTAAAATACATGTTAAATGTGGATTTAAATCCCTGTCACTGATAGCCATACTTAGTGATCTGTCTATTGATAAGCAATAATAATGAAGGGCAGACATACTTTACATAAATTAATATATGATAGTATTAAAAATATTATCTCCTTTATCTTAACTGTGTTTTAGTTCACACCCTCCAAGAAGCAGAGTTGTTACTGGATATTCACTCCAAAATGTATTGTGGAAAACATCCATGAAGAGTTAAAGAGGAGAGTAGAAAGAGCAGGAATGCTGTCCACACACACTGTTGGTTTTACCCCTGTGAGATGGCAGGTGAAGAGCTCGAAGGAAGTAGACTGGACTACAGAGCTTTAATATTTGAGGAGACTTGGGGGAGATCCTTGTGCTGACGTCATCTGCAAGTGGAGTCATTTGGACCCTCAGAATGCATTGTGGTAGGGCCTTGATGATGCTGTCAGTGACTGAACAGCTGCTGGAGTGTGACATCAGTATGAACTTGGTGGTAGATCAAAGAGAGACATCCCCCTCCCCCAGCAGAAGAGCCAAGCAGCGCATTCCTGTGGTTCCCACTGTAGTCACTCAGGAAATCACATTTCCTCTATGACTTTAAAAAAAAACACGGTTGAATTGTACAACTCCAAGCAGAATTTTGTGTTTATGGAAGAGGTCTTTATTTACTTGTAAAGGCAACTCCTTTGTTTGCTCCAGTGTTGCTGGATGTGGAAGTCATCCAAGGGTCGTTTGATGAATGTGAGGATAAAGGAATTCTTGTTTACTCATACAATGGAATATTATTCAATATTGCTATATCATAAAACATGCATATGCATGCTTTTAGACACTGTCCATAAAACTAAGGGACACCATGCTGTGATAAATAAGACAGACATAGAAATTAGAATACACCATCATTTCCTCTATATGTACTTTATCTTTAGAAATCGGATAAATAGAATCAAATGGCAGAATAGTGACTAACCAGGACAGACAGCGATAGTTATGGAAATATAAGTCAAAGAAAACTAAGTTGTAGCTATATACAAGATGAAGACTATAACTGATAATGTATTATACTGGTTGTTTGCAAAGAGAGTAGATTATAGGCATTCTTACTGTATAGCAAGGGCAAAAAAAGTATAAAGAAAGATAATTATGTGTGATTGTGGGGTTAACTTGCTTGGACATAGCAAGCAACTTGTGTATATGTATAAAACTTTGCCAAAACATTGTGCCATGTATCTTAAATATGCACAAATTAACTTCAGTGGAACAATGGTAGTCCTCAGTATGTTAGAAAAATTTAATATTATTAAATTTCTATCATTCATGCCTCATTAACATATTACTCCTCTTCCATCATGTTGACAGCCCAGTCACCATCACCTAGTTCCACAGTACCTCAGAAAACAGCCTTCCGAGGTGAGAGGTGAGATGCCCACTTCCCATTTCCTGTGTGAGTCATGAGGAAGGAAGACCCGCCACCTCACTGTCGCTTCCACTCTGGCCCAGGGTTCTCACTTTTTCTGCTAAAATGCCCTTTTGATGTTATTCTAGCTCACTTTCTTTCAAGGGTGTTGTACAACTCAGCCATTCGTGGCTCTCGTTTGTTCTCTGTACATACAGCTTGTGAAGCCATGAAGAGAATGGCCCGGTACACGTCAGGGCCCTAGAATTTCAAGCTCAGAAGATGTCCTTGGAGAAAGAGAACCCTTTTGCCACTGCTTTCTATTCGGTCTCAAGAATCTCAAGGGTTTCTTAGATCCAAGGGTCCGTTCATGTCCTCCTAGTAGGACTCTGTTAGGAGCAGTGGGATTGGACTCTGAACTTCTCGGGGGTTATACCATTTCTTGAAATAGAGATCTTTATTTCATTGTCATGATTTTCATGATTTATTTCTAAGAAAAATATAACCAAAAAGAAAAAGAATCCTGCAAAACATAAACAATTAAAGGAAACAGGTTTATTTCACCCAAAGACTAGACTTCAGTTTATTTCCTTTCTTGACCAGGAAACACATAAGTTAGTGTTCTAGTTAATTTGTTCTTGTTTCAAGGCTAGATGAAGGCTCTGTTTTACATTGTCCTTAATTACCATGGTTGTTAGCCAGTCTTCTTGGAGATGACCCCTTCCTGGTCCTTACATTTTAATCTCCCTGTATTTAAAAGAGACAACCTTCTGAGATTATTCATATAAATAAGATGCTCAGAGACCTCACAATTGGGTAGAAGATTCCAACAAATAACTAAGCTTTCTGTGTAAATGAAATTCAAAAACAAGTATTTCCTGAATTCATAGTTCATCAAAAATAACAGGTACATCTGTGTTAAAACTTTGGCTCCAGTTTACTCTGACTTGAACACTACATAAACGTGAGCTCTTCATGAATTAGCACTTGGGAGGCAGAATCAGCGGGACAAGGTGTTCAAGGTTGTCTTTGGCTACACAGCAAGTTTGAGACCAACCTGACAGCAACATTAGCACCACACTTTCAAAAGCAATAGTTTTGTGCTTGATCATGAAGAGCAATTCAATAAAATTATTTGCATGGAAGTATTACAAAGCATTTTATAAAGACACTAGTCTTTTAACATCATTCTTTAATATATAATTTAAGAATTTAACACACAAGTTGAGGTTCTTTTCACTGAATTTCTAGGGATAATAACCTTTTAAAGCAAGTACCAGTCATTTGTGGACAGGGTGATGGGAAATTCTTTTAACTTTAAAACAGCTCAGTGCTTTCTGATCATCATCATGAAGGCTGATGAAGGCAGGGGGGAATACAGAAGTGTAGACATTTTTGTACTGCAGTAAGGGGAACCGTCCATTCAGCTACTGTGTACAGTCTATTAATGAGACCTTAATTCCACACGTCTGCCCACACTTGGGGCAGCTCCTATCACTTCCAAGAAAAGGAAAAAGAGACTTTTGGGGACTGTTGTTTCTCTTCTATGAAGCTTCTGAAGTTATCAATAGTGTTTTCTTCAAATTGCAAAATGTTGCAAGTAATTTTCTCCATCATGCTGGACTGGAAATATGGAAACTGCGTTTTCACTTGAGTCTCTAGTGTACCCTGTCTTACACTGAGGGCCGATAACCATTGAAACCCTACCTCCTGGAGAACTTGTTAAACTTGCAGATGTGGGCTCCAGCTGACTCCCTGGATAAGCTCCTTCAGGGCATGTTTTGCTGCTATTTCTTCCCAGTTGAAATAGTCCCTCCTGCAGGGAAAAGAGAAGTTCATAAACTCAGGAAGCTAAAGGAATCTACAAAGCTTAAAAATCCCATCAAATTTATGAGGCTCAGAAAACTCAGAAAGTTACAAGATTCACAAGACTACATGCCAAGGCTATAAAAACAATAAACAATTTTTGGGGAGGAGGAGGCTCTTCTCAGTGGAGCTGCCTGCCAGTTGGAGGATCTTTGTGGATACAGATTTATGAGTAGTCACCCATGCTGGTGTGTGTGTGTGTGTGCATGTGTATGTGTGTGTGTGTGTGTGTGTGTGCGTGTGTGTGTTTGTGTGTGGGTATGTGCACATGAGTGTAGGTGCCCAAAGAGGCTGGAGGTATCAGATCTTCATGAAACTGATGTTACAGGTGTGAGTCATCTGACATGGGTGCTGAGAACTAAACTCAGATCTTCTCCAAGAGCAGTGAGTACTGTTAACAACTGACCATCTCTCTATGCCCAAATAAAACATTGATGAAATAAACTGGGTGATACCACATGGATTTGAGGTCATAAACTCTAAGGTGGCACTTGATGAGGGTCATAGATGGCTATCCATTCCACGTCTGTTTTTTCTTTAATATGTTAAGATTGAAACAAATTGTAGTCTTTTTTTTGAAATATGGAGTGCTTCACGAATTTATGTGTCATCCTTGCACAGGGGTCATACTGATCTTCTCTATATCATTCCAATTTTAGTGTATGTGTTGCGAAGTGAGCACTCAAATTCTAGTGTTACAATGCTTCTTTCTGCATGTTGCATCAACACATTTTCCTCTCTCTCTCTCTCTCTCTCTCTCTCTTTTTCTCTCTCTCACTCTCCTCTTACAAAGGGTCTCCCCATAGCCCCAGCTGGCCTGGAATTCACTATGTAGTCCAGGTTGACCTTGATCTCATAGACTCACAGCGATCTGCCTGGCTCTACTGGGATTGAAGGTGACGTTTGGCATCATCATCATCAAATGATTGCTAATTTTCAGGTCATTGGAAGACTTATGAATTAACCTTTGTGTGGATTCTTTCACCCCGTCTCACCATCTATTCCCTTTCCTTCCCAAATGAACAATGTTGGGAATCAAACGAATACGAAAGGTAGAATTAGAGTTGAGACCCACAGTAAGTTAGCTACTGTGAAGAGGAATTTTGATTTTGGTAAATAATTATGCATTAATTTCTCAATGATTATAATAACTTTATTATTTGACCATAGTTTAAGATTCTATTTAAATATCTTATTTGAGATTACTTGAATTCATAATAAACGAAAATGTTACACAAGCCTCTAAATGATTAAATTTTAGCATCATTACCTTCATAATTTATGGCATTTCTCATAGCCTAAAATTTGTTGTTATTTTCAAGTCACTATTAATGCTGTTGTTCAAGCAGTAAAACTTTTTGAGCGCATATTCATACCCTTAGTGTCACAAATAATTTTATTTTCTTACATTTAGTTTACTGCTTTCAAAAAGACTATTCCTGACTTTAAAAGTATTTCCTTAACATTTGTGATCTGTCTAGAAATCTCTCATCTTCTATTGAACTAGAGAGAGATTAGGCTTTTTCATTTTTTTAATAATAAAGATCAAGCTTTTTTGGAGACTTGATGTGACCTTTTTCACACTTGATGTTTTTATATGTCTAAGGCCAGCGAGTTTCTGTTTCAGTTTTCCATTTCCACAGGATGCTGGATAGGTGAGAATTAGCAATTGTGGCCTTCTGTGTGCATCACACTCTGTTGTATAAGGAAGCTTCACTGATGAGAGTTGGGGGAATGCATTAGTTTTCTTTCTACTCCTATGTTCCATGAACTTTAGTTTTAGAGGTTCAACTGTAGATGTGTCACCTAGTACTGGGCCTCTCTGAGACATATAGTCTCTGTTTCTGACTAGCTGTGCAACTCTGCAGTAATCTCCATCTATTTCAAAAAGAAGCTTCTTCGATGAGTGGTATATGGTGTGCTTGTCTGTAAATATAAGCATTGGTATTTAGCATATACTAAGAAATTCATTTAGAGATATGAGAGAGACAGGGTTTTCGCTAGTATCTCTGACCTCTCCAGCCATCTGTATTTGGCTGTGTTTACAGTGCCACCCATGAGTTCACTCCCATTGAAAGGGCTTTAAGTCTAATTAGACGGTTGTTGATTATTCCACAGATAACAGTGCCACTACTGCACCAATAGCGGTAATTTGCTGTGCTGATCATTATGGTTATTAAACTTTAGGACTGGGTTGGACCATTGATTGATTCCCTTAGCATCTTGCACAGTATCCTCTAGAACCATGGGAGCTGAACTTCAGGGAGAAGGCTTCCAGGTCCTTTCCTGCTCCCTTGCTTCAAGTACTGTGCTGAAATATGTCCTGGTACCAGCAGTAGGGTCTTGTCTTCCAGTTCTGGCAGATAATCTAGAGCTCTGGCAATAGCTTATGTTATTTTGGGAGTCTCAGACCACTCTCATCAACCACTCCTATCTGGCACTGTGCTCCCTGCCGTAGAGCCCCCAGGTATACGTATGCACTAACGTTCAAAATGTATGTACATTTTGCAGGGGTTTCTTGGGCATCACATTTCCCTCTGGGTTCCTCAACGCCCCAAAATCCATTCATCTCTACTCTTTTTTCTCCCATTTGACCTTCCTCCTCCCTCCCCAATCCAAGCTACCCCATTATCCCCACCCTCTCCCCAGTTACACCTGCTTCCCACTGTACCCCATCTCCTGAGTTCCTTCCTCTACACACACCATGGCCCCCTTTCATGTTCCTCCCTCCTTCCCTCTCAGCCAAACACTCCCACTTTCCCCACTTCCCCTCTCAACAGGATACATAACCACATATAATGGATGGGTGCTACAACTCACAAAAGAGGGAGAACATGTATCACTTGCTTTTCTTAGTCTGTGCTACTTCTTACTGCTGAGTAGAACTGTAGTTTGTAAATGAACCACATTTTCATTATCTATTTGTCAGTTGAGGGACATTTAGGTTATTTCTATTTCTTAGCTATTGTTAAAAACACAGCAACAAACATGGATGTACAGGTATCGCTACAGAAAAATGAGTCCTTTGGGTACATGCCAAAGAGTGGTATAACAGAATCATATGGTAGATTCATTTCTAGTTATTGGAGAGCTCTCCACACTGATTTCTATAGTGGTTGCACAAACTGCATTCCCATCAGCCGTGAATGAGCCTTCCCTGATCTTCACATCCTCACCTGAATTTGGCGTCTTTTGTTCTCTTGATCTTAGCCAGTCTAACTGAGGTAAGATGGAGTGTTAAAGTGGTTTTGATCTGCAATTCTCTAATAGCTTAGAATGTTGAGCACATACTAAGATGTTTATTAGCTGTTTTTAGTTCTTCATTCATGTCTATATCCCATGTTTTTACTGGGTCATCTATTTTCTTGTTTCTTTCTTTAACGCGCTCTTTGTATATTCTGGATATTAATTCTCTGTCAAATGTGTAACTGGTGGAGATTTTCTCCCACTCACTGGATTGCCTCTTCATTTTCATCATTGTTTCTTTTGCTGTACAGAAGCTTTGTAGTTAATGAGGTCCCATTTATTGATTGTTGACCTTAATGCCTGAGCAGTTGATGTCCAATTTCGAAAAGTCCTTTCCTGCACCAGCATCTTGGAGGGTACTGCCTATATTTTTTGTTAGCAGTTTCAGAGTTTCAGGTATTATTTTGAGGTCTTTGATGGATTTGGAGTTGACTTTTGTGCATGGTGAAAGATAAGGGTCAGGTTTCATTCTTCTGCAGGTTGAGATCCAGTTTTGCCAGCACCATTTGTTGAAGATGCTGTCTTTCCTGCACTGTGTGTTCTTGGAAACTTGGAACCAAATATCAGGTGGCTAAAATCGCATGTATTCATTTTCTTTTTTGTTTTCTATTGTGTTCCGTTGACCTATGTATCTATTTTTGTGCCGGTACCATGATGTTTTTATGATTATAGCTCTGTAATATAATGTGAAATCTGGTATTGTGATCCCCTCAGCATTGTTCTTTTTGCCCAAGATTGCTTTGGTTACCAGAGTCTTCTGTCATTTCTTAAGTATTTTAGGATTTTCTTTTTGAACTCTGTGAAGAGTGCTGTGGGGATTTTGATTGGGATTGCATTGAACCTATAGATTATCTTTGGTAAGGTGTTACTTGAAAATCTTGCAAGAGCAATAAGACAAGAGAAGAAAATTAAAGGAGTAGTTCTTGGAAAAGAAGAGGTCAAATTATTACTATTTTCAGATGCTATATTGTACCTAAGAGATGCCAAAAATTCCACCAGAAACACTTCTCTTTAACATAGTGCTTGAAACTCTTGCAAGAGCAATAAGACAAGAGGAGGAAATTAAAGGAGTAATAAATGGAAAAGAAGAGATCAAATTATCCCTCTTTGCAGATGATGTGATACTATACACAAGAGGTCCCAAAAATTCCACTGGAAAACTGTTAGAAATAATGGATATTTTCAGTAATGTGACAGCTTACAAAATCAACTTACAAAAAGTCAGCATTCTTTCTATATACTAATAGCAACAATAAAAAAAAAGCACTCAAGGAGACCCTCCCATTCATAATAACTTCAAAATAATTATTAAGGAACAAACCTGACAAAAGACATTAAAGATCTCTTCAATGAAAATTTTAAATATTTTAAAAAAGAGATAGAGGAAGATACTAGGAGATGGAAAGATCAACCATGCTCATGAATTGGAATTAATATTTTTAAAGTGGCCACCATTTGATCTTTTGAAAGATCTTTATGTGTGCTTTAAGAATATGATCTGGGTGTGGTGGCACATATCTTTATGCTTAGGATTTGGGAGGCACTGGTAAGCATAGTTTTTGTGTGATTGAGGCCACCCTGGTCTTTATATTGAGTTCCAGGCCAGCTGGCCCTGGCCCCCAAAACTGAAAACACCCACAACAAATCATATGTACATGCTATAACATATAGGATTATGATAATTGGGTTCAAAATGGTTGAAGCATTATTTGGCTGGAAATACACACACAATCATCAAGGTGCCTTTGCTTTCTTGATTCTAGGGTTCTACCTAAAGAATAACATTTACAAGGGATTCATAATTACAGTGGCAGGGGAGTGTGTCTTTCTGAGATTGAATCATTTTTGAAATTTCCTTGAAGTTTTATAAGTGCCAACATCCTCTGTGATGGAAATTCTTCATATTACATGGGGCCTAAGACTGTGCATGGATTAGACCTCAAGAGGAAATGCTGCCCATTTCCTCGTGTTAAGTAGAGATAGAAAAGTAGTATCTTTTTTCTCTATCTCATAAGAAATGCCAAAATGGAAGGCCCTGCAGGATCATTTATACACTGTCCAAGTTCACTTTTATTACACTGTTTCCTCTCTTTTACAAATGAGAAGCTAAGACTCAAGAAGAGACATCTTATTAAAATTACAAAATAAAGAGCTGGGATATGTAAGCAAACCTAGCCTGGGAGATTAGACTGAACCTTAGACCTAATGAGGTTATGCTAGGTTCACAAAATTTATCTTCCATTAAGCCTAGCTCGTATTGGAAGGTTTTATTTATATAGACACTAGAAAAGATGTGGCAGATATTACAAGGGTAAGGGTCTCTTTCAGAGTCTAGTGCTGTTATCTCCCACATTTGTCTGTGGGTTAGCCCATTGTCCCATAGCAGAATTGCCAAATACCTTTAGGGAAACTTGGATAAGGCTATGGGGCAGCCAA